GCAAGTAGTGTTCCCTCTAAGCTAGTTAGTGTGAGCTAGCTCACAGTTTTTTTAGCTTCTGGCTCACACATTTTTGTCTTAGCTCAGGAAGGATGGCTCCAGAGCAAACTAATTTATGCAGCAGCCTAATCGCTCGCTCACAACTTTAATGCCAGTAGCTCACAAAGTAGAATTTTTGCTCACAAGACTCCACAGCTTAGAGGGAGCACTGCATGCAAGGCTTGAGGGCAGACTTAGTGTGGTTTCACACTTTATGTAATGGTTGGGTTTACTGTGGCTACACCATTGTCTGCAACGGTGTTTCCTGCCGTAAATGTATACAATAAAATGTGACAAATAGGGGCACTCTAGGAAGTCCTGCAGCCTTCAGCTCCCTAGCATATACACTGTGGGAGAGGCATCTGGCCTTCACATTTTACATGTCTAGTATCGGAGATACTGATGTAACACTACTATAAGCACAATATGCTTTTCATATAAAGTTTGATGACTTCAGTAAAACTTGTTTTTCCATACTTCAGCTTCATGCACACTACTTTGCCTCACCTAACTGGTAACTTACATCCATATTATAATATCTCTCCTTTAATTCCTGGTCTAGCCAGAACTGATAACAGCACAGAAAGGCTCGGAAATGCTGCGGGAAATCTCCAGTGAGCTGTGGAATAAAGGAATCCTACTCTTTAATTTATAGACCCTGGTGCTGGACTTAGTATTCAGGGGCAGAAAAAGTAATAGGAGACTCATCATACTGCTTACATAAGCAGCAATTCAACATAGCTATTCCTATGGCTTAACATAACCACAAGAAATTAAAGCCAAGAATGGTAGTTGTTAAAATTACACGTTATGGCTCCATTTGCTCAAATGATGTCACAATCTCCATGACTAGTCTGAGATTTATTCAGACCAGGAGAGTGATCATTTTATTGTTTAGAACAGAAACAAAAGCCTCCTTGGAGCTTTCCCTTCTTGTCATAGGGAATGTAGACTAGGTGAGAAAAAGAATCATTTAAGGCCCTCTAATTATTATAGAGTCTAATAGATACATTGATGCTATGAGAGAATTGGAATGGAGGCCAATAAGGCTCTACTGTGCAGGCTGTGGAAGGTCGGTAGTTCAGCAGTTCGAGACCCGAGTGTGCCGCAGGACGGAGTGAGCTCCCGTCCCTAGCAGTTCGAAAGCAAGAAATTGCAAGTAGATAAATAGGTACCACTTCGGTGGGAAGGTAACAGCATTCCGTGCGCCTTGGTGTTTAGTCATGCCGGCCACATGACCACAGAAATGTCTTCGGTCAGTGCTGGCTCTTCGGCTTGGAAACGGAGATGAGCACCGCAACCCTAGAGTCGGATTCGACTGGCTTTCGAGCAAGGGAACCTTTACCTTTACCTAATAGATACATTGATGCTATGAGAGAATTGGAATGGAGGCCAATAAGGCTCTACTGTTAAAATCAACTGTAGGAGAAAGGAATGTCTGCTAAAACTTTGCTACGAGAACAGTGTATTGTTTAACTAAGGCACAGTCAGGCCCGTAGCCAGGATTTTTAAAATCGGGGGCATTTAAATTTCTTAGGGGGTACTAGCTAATCAAATTAAGGGAATACTCGGCTCCTTCTCCACACCTGCTCAATGGCCCTGGTCTGGATGGGAAGTTGTGGGGCCTTGCTAGTAAGTCAGGGGGCCTAGCCCCAAAATGTCCCACTGTAGCTACAGGCCCGGGCACAGTGCCATCCCCAGCAGACGTACATCTTTCTAAACCCAATGGATTTTAAAAGGTATAACATTGCTTAAGATGGCATTGTTAAATATTAAATCTGTTCAACAGGGCATATTCTTGAATGTATACACTTAAGGAACAATCCTAAGGAAGTCTGCTCAGAAATAAGTCCCATATTAGTCAACAAGGCTTTATCTCAAGAAAGTGTCTTTAGGATTGCAGCCTTAGATTGTTAAAGATACAGTTCTGATCCAACGGGGAGCAGCGGTTTGGAGCAGTGAATATGGAGCAGTGGTTTGGAAACTGCATCCTAGATCAGCATCTATAAGTTCACCAGGGCTCCCCATCTGCAGAAAAGGCAGGGGAAAGGGGAGAAGAGGAACTGATACTTTAATAACATCTTTATTGAAGACCAATGTAGTGTATTGTACTGGTTACAGTGTTGGACTAGGATGTGGGAGACCTAGGTTCAGATTCTTACCTTGTCATGGAAATTTGTTGAATGATCTTGGATCGTTACTTTCTCTCAGCCTCCCTCACAAAGTCATTGTTGTGAAGACAGAATGGAGGAGGAGTGAATGATATTGTAAACTACTTCAGGTCCTCATTGGGAAGAGAAGCAGAGTATAAATATTGAATAAATAAATCCACTTGTAGTGGTGAAGCTTCACTAAAAAGAGAACATATGTCAGTCTGGGAGGAGCCAGGAGCAGGCAGTGCTTGACAGGACTAAAACTTGGTTACAGCCTCATCCTAGGCATGAGCCAATTGGGCTGATTCCCACGTAACTGTGCCTAGAACAGCAACTTTCAGCTATTTTGCTGTCTCTTCATGAGGGGAAAGATGGAGAAAGAACTTCCACACCATCAGTCAGTTAAGGCATTGTGATTGTCTTTGTACAGAAAAAACACTGCTTTTACAGTGGATTCAGGTGGGTAGCTGTGTTGGTCTGAAGCAGCATGGAGGGGAAAGATGGAGAAAGAACTTCCCCACCATCAGTCAGTTAAGGCACTGTGATTGTCTTTGTAAAGAAAAAAAACACTGTTTTTACAGTGGATTCAGGTGGGTAGATGTGTTGGTCTGAAGCAGCATGTTGTGAGCAGTGGCTAGAAAATTTATCTAATGGCTGCCACCACTCTGGTATGGGTCTCCTCAAGAAGAACCAGAGCACCCGCCCTACCCCTTTATATAGTAGTTTTCCAGTCCATTTCCCTTTATACGTGACCAAATGAGGCATGAGGACCCAGGCAGGGTAACAAACTAGTTTTATTAAAGAGATTTAATAACAACATTTGTTCAAAAACATGTAGGAAAAATGAGCACACTGAAGGTAGGTAAATCAGTAAAATAGTAAATCCTAATGCATCTGACTATACGGTCTTAGCCTTCTCTCGGTACTTGGTCTCAGATTGACTCACCCCCTTTTGGATGAGGGATCCCTTTCTCTGCAGCAGCCTCACCAGCCCTGCTCCCTGAGAGGGAACCCCTCTCCCACTTTTGGGCAAGGCTTTTTATCTCTTCTTCCCAAGCACCACCCTCTGCTCCCCTGCTGGTGTAGTTTCCCCTCCAAAATCCCCTGCCAACCAATCACAGGGTCCAGAGGGAATCAGGGAAATGTAGGCCCTAATAGCTATTCCAGTACAGGCTTCTCTGGAGCCACTTGGCCTCCCTAGAGCCTGTAGGCTGCACCACTATAGGCCCAGGGTCATGACACAGCAGAACAAAGTTTGAGTCCAGTGGCACCTTTAAGACCAACAAAGTTTTATTCAGGGTGCATCTGAAGAAGTGTGCGTGCATACAAAATCTAATGGCTGCCACCACTCTGGTATGGGTCTCCTCAAGAAGAACCAGAGCACCCGCCCTACCCCTTTATATAGTAGTTTTCCAGTCCATTTCCCTTTATACGTGACCAAATGAGGCATGAGGACCCAGGCAGGGTAACAAACTAGTTTTATTAAAGAGATTTAATAACAAAATTCGTTCAAAAACATGTAGGAAAAATGAGCACACTGAAGGTAGCAGGTAGGTAAATCAGTAAAATAGTAAATCCTAATGCATCTGACTATACGGTACCTATTTATCTACTGTAGGGGCAAACAAATGGTTTTTTCCTCTCTCCCAAAGATAACGACTCTCTGAAAACTACAAAACCGGCAAAGCACACAGACCCAGGAGTTTAGAGGGAATATGTAAAGCTGCAACTCATCACCTGCAGTCTTTTGGTGAATTCTGTTCCACCACCTCAATATTCTACACCCTTATTCTTCTGGCATGTGTAAATCAGGCCTCAATTATCAGAGACAGGAAAAGATGACTACCTTCAGTTAGGAAGTGGCATTCTAAAGAATTCAGCATGTATGTCTCTTTTTCTTTCATCCCTTCCCACACTTAATGGAAGTTATTGATAAGAAAAAGCACTTTGTGGGAGTGATAAAACATCATCTTTTATGTTTAGATAAAGCTTTTTCCTACATGTGTAAACCAAGTTTCGATGGCCTGTCTTACACACAGAGCAGAGTAAGGTGGTACACTGAACTGTGTCACTTCAGTTTGGTGGCAAGGATCCCCATATTGAATGTTCATCTGTCTTTAAAATTCTTTGCAAGTTTTAAACAAAACCTTGGGATAGCAATTGCATCTGATGACTGAGCTCTGACTGACAAACGCTCATGCTGTAAGAAATTCTCTTAGCATCTAAAGTGCACTGTAGTCCTGTTTAGCTCATGCTGTAAGAAATTCTCTTAGCATAGCATCTAAAGTGCACTGTAGTCCTGTTTTATTGTAGTGTACTATATGGCAGACAGCAGTGATTCGAACCTCAGTTTCCCAGATCCTAGTTCAACATTCTGACCACTACACAACGATGCCTGGTGTGTTAATTTTCCAATTTTTATGTAGGTACTGAGTTCGCTAAACAAAACAAAAAAAGATTCTCCCTTACCCACAGTTTAAAGCGGTACAGTCCATCCTATCATCCCAGACTCACCCCGTCCTCCTTATCAATGGTATATAGGCAGGCTGGCTAGCACGGAACTATCCTTACCCCCACCTCTCAGAGTTAGGGATTGCCGACGCCGTCCTAATAATTAAGACGCTCGAATTAAATCACTTTATTTTTGAGGTCAGGAAGCACCATTAGATTCCGCGGGGGGCTATTCTTTTCCAGTTTGGCCCAGGAAAAGAGGTCTTCCTGGAGCTTCTCTTGTTGCCATGGCTTCCTCAGCTGGAGCCTATGGAGCAGCCGTGTGTGGGTCACATGGTTCCCGCTGTTGCTGTCATGGCGGCGGCTGGCTGCCTAACCATGTAGGAAGGCTGAATTTTCCGTGCTATGGAGAAAGTGGTCCCGGCGCCCTCCTTTGAGAGTCCCCGAGAGCCGCCCGCCGAGGACTGTGATGCATGTGGGGACAGTAACTCGACAGGGAATGGTGGCGGCTCGTCTCCTGCGTCTGTTTCTTGGAGCTCCGAGTAAGGAGGGGTGGGAAATAAATTGGTCTTCTCGTTCGTCAGGCGTGTAATGAGGCGCCGTTAAACTCCTGCCCACAGTCTGCGCTTAGCCTTGCAGGGGTTTTTCGCGGGGCCCCTTCCAGCTGCTGGTGATAAAAGTGGCATCTTAAAGCGCCGGCTTCATTAAATAGCAGGAATAGCTGATTATAGGCACCATTACCCTCAGTCACTAAAGAGCTTGAGGAGAAGAAAGAACATGAACTGCTGATTTCTAGGGCCTTGATGCTGTTCTTCCCTTTCTTTCCCAGTACTATTTACCATCTCCCTTTGTCTGCCATTTCTGTGTCCAGTTCTAATACATATATGTTCTCTAGGGCCCATGCAAAAAGAAAAGTCATACCCCAGGATTGCAGATGCACAGATGGGTATGTCAAGCTTCCTTAAGAGCAAAATGGGCATTTTAAATGGCTGGG